TATTAGTGAGGTTGCTGATGGCTGTGGTGAGGAATGTGAAATGATTTTGGCGGCGTTAAGGTGGCTGCTTCTCTTAGAGATCCCAGTCTCTGGGGCCATCCACTCAGCCTGGCTGTGGGGAGCCCCATCCCAGCTGGATGCTAGCTGTGTGAAGATGTCACCAGTGTGGCCAGGGGACATTCCAGTTCCCCCAGCCTGGCCATCCCTGGAGCCATTACAACCAGTTTTGGGGATAAAGGAGAAATTGCCCTATGTGTAGCATGCACCCATGCAAAGCCACTACAGGCAGTGTAGGCTAAATACATATTTATACCCCTATCAGTTTACCCTGGCTTGTGCTGTACCACTGGAACTGATGGAGTTCCCCAAACTCCTCACAATCCCCCCTCCAGCATGAAATTCCCCTGGCACCGCCATCCCCCCTCGCAGCAAGAGCTGAGAGAGAAATTTCCTACATAATTTCGGGACCCTGTTGTCTCACGCATATTTTGTTCTCATTGGAGTTTCCCTTCCGAGTTTATTTTTGGTAGGACCTGAAATAGGAAATGAATTGCTGGCAATGGGCTCACTTCTATTGCTGCTCTCTGGCCAAGCCAAAACAAATGCGACATTGTCCAACCCAATGGCTCCTTCTTCAGTCTGGGGAATTGGGATGAAATATGAGGAAGAGCAGTGTTAGGGCTGGTGGAGGAGAGGATGGGTCACAAGTTCCACTGTGCTCCTCTGCTTCCCCTGGCCAAGGTCCTGGTGGAGAGGTGGGCTGGTGGCTGCTGGGCAGGTCCTGCTCCATCACAGCATCTCCTGCTCCGTCACAGCATCTCCTGCTCCGTCACAGCATCTCCTGCCAGCCTCATCCCCTGCTTCTCCTCTGTAGTGGGAGGCCATGCAACATGTTTAGTCAAGCCATCATGTTGTCACCAAAACCCTCTGACGTGTCTGTCAGGGGAAGGTGGCTTCAGGGAAGGTTCTGCTCCACCTCGGGTGAGCAGCAGACCCGGTTTTGCTCCACATCATGACTTCCTCCTGTGACTGGGTTCAGTTGTTTTTTCCTTGAGGTCAAAGGTTTCCTTGAGGTCAAAGGTTTCACCTGTGGAAAGTGGCTAAGAAAAGCAAGTGTATTTATGCTACTTATGAACTTTCTAGTGGGATTCATAGCTGCAGGAGAAATTATTTTATGGTTTTCAACCTCTGCTTATTTGTGGACCCATAAAAATGTCCTCTCACCAGTGTCTATCCTAGGGTGCTGTCAGTCAGAGATAACAGAAGTGCGGTTGTGGGAGGAAAGCCTGCAGGCCCTAGTAGGATGCTTGGAAAAGACATTCATGGTCACATTATGCATCAAAATCAGACTTTCATGATGCTGAGGTATGGCAATCCATTGCGATGGTGATGGCCTTCATGGCCTGTGGCATCACAGGACATCTCTGGGAGAAGCATCTGACCCATCTGAGCTGGAAGGACCCTGCTGAAAGGAACCTGCAGGCCCTGGTGGATCTCAGGTTGAACATCAGCTTATCATTGCTCTTCTCCAGAGCAAGGCAAAACTCATAATGGGAGACACTGGAAAGGGCATGGGCAGCCACCCGAAGGAAGCTGCTGCCTCTCCCTCCATCCAGTAGGGTCCAGAGGTGGACCTCCCACTTCAAGAGGGATGTGAAGAAACTGGAGGGGCCTGGTGAGTTATCAACATGGCCATGGAGCTGGCACACATTGCACCAGGAGAGATGGAGGGGTCTGGGCTGGGTTAGCATGGCCATGAGGAGGTGAAGGGGGTCTGAGGGCAGCCAGCAACTAATATGGTGGAGTCGAATCCTTGGTGATGGCAGATGATATGATGGGGGACAACAGCCACTGGTGGCTGCTTGGGAGTTTAAGAAGAAAATTCTTCCCCAGAAAAGCAGCACAGTCCTGGAACAGTCACCAGGAGCTGGGAGATCTCCATCCTTAGATGTTCCCAAAATTGGCCAGACAGCCTTGATGCAGTGTATTGCTGCCTGGTTGGACTGGAGCCTCCAGTGACCTGTGGATGCATGTCAGCATCTATGATATGGGATTTTTGCGTGTACTTGTAGGCTGCTCACTTACAGGCTCTCCTCTGGCTTGCTGGGCTGTGTCGGAGCTCGTGCTCTTGCCTGGGTGAAGCTATGGTGTCCCGGGACAGCCTGGGGATGGGGGCAAACTTCGAGTGCCCAACCTTCCTGGAGCACTAGCCCGAGCTTAGCTGCCTGCATGAGTGAGAAAGTACCCTGAGAGGAAGCTGGGGCTCTTCCCAAATTCACCTTGCTGGGTCACCATCATGAGCATCGTGGATAGTTCTCCCCAGATGCTCTTTACTGCTGACATGAAGAGGTTTGTACAGGACCGCATGAAGTCTGACAACCTCTTTCCTCTTTAATTGTATTTATTTTTGCAGTTTTATTGACTGGATTTTACTACTTTCCTTCTCCCAGACCTTTCTGAGCCTCCTGGAAGCCTATTCTGTTACTCCATCAGCCTCTGTGGCAGAGGGAGAGGGACTTTAATGCCATTCCAGGTGTCATAAGCTCAGTGTGCCCATTCTTCTATTGATTTTGTCTATTTTGCCTTTGGTGACACTGAGATGATTCATCGCCTCCTGTTACTCTGCTGTGTGATATCCCATTATCAGTAGTTTATATGGCAAGGATAGAGATCTCTGAGTAGTTTCAGCTGGCATCTTTCATCTTCCCAAGTAAAACCTGAAGGAAAGGGGAAGGACCTCTAAAAGGTGGCCAGGAATCTTGTGAGCAATGCCAACAAGGCATGTGATGTCCCATCCCTTTATCCTTCAGCTTTTTACTATGAGGTGATGTTTCTCCAGCCAGGGTCACACATACTGCGCTGTCTCCAGCTCTGTGATACTGGGCAATGCCAGGGAGTGTTCCAGAGCCTCATCCCCTCCTCAGTGCCATGCTGGGTTGGCTCCAGGTGGTCTCATCCCATTCTGGTGTCCATCGTGTGCCTCCATCACCTTCAAAATTGCCCCACAGTTGGTCCTTTGGTCTGATGGTCTTCTCCTGGGTCATCGTCCTTCACGGTGGGCAGAGCTCAGGATGGCTCAACAGTGGGCACTGATGCTCCTGGCTCCCACTGCAGCAGAGCCCTCTTTTCATTTCTTGTGGCAGGGAGGGTGCCCTGCTGTCCATGGCTTTGGCTCCTCCAGGGAGAGACAGGTAGAGCAGTGGGTGCTGCAGCCCCATGGGCTGGCAGAGGCTCTGGTTGAGGCTGAAGGAGCCTGTCAGGGGCAGAGCCACTGCCCCAGAGGACCAAGAGCCCCTCCGCCTGCACCAGCTGCAGTTAGAGCCCTGCAGGCAGCAGGACAGGCAGGGCTTGGCTGCCCTCAGTCTCAGGGAAAGCTGCAGAGCAAAGCGGCCTCCCCGCTGCAGCCCCAGGCAGCTGCACAGAGCATAGGCAGCATGCTAGCAGCGTGCAGGTAGAGGGAGCAAAGCAGAGAGCAGGCAGAGAGCTTGCAAAATGCACGCAGATTCGGTAGCGTGCAGGCAGAGCACAGGCAGAGTGACAGAAGCACGCAGGTAGCGTGTAGGCAGGGTGCAGGCAAATTGTAGGCAAGACTGCTTATGGGAGAAAGAACATCTCATCTGGCCCCTGAACTTATCCCAGGTGTGCCATGTGGCAGCACTGTAACCCAGTCTGCGTAGAGATCCCAAAAGCTGCCAGGCTAGAAAGCTGGGGTCAGAGCCCTGCCCCACACTGCCAGGCCCCTGTGTCCCCCCCACATTTGTGTCCCAGCACCCTGAGCACCCAGCCAGGAGTGGAGTCTCTTTGCCCAGTGGACAAAGCTCTCTTGAGCCCCGGGGTCTAATCCTGGCTATGCCAGCGAGGGTCTGAGCACAAGACTGGTCGTTGGTCCTGCCCCCCC